GTTGAGTCGTGTCAAGTTCGTGCCACCGTTCGCCAGGTGAGTTTCTGCGGTCTGGCGTCTTTTGGCCGGGCTCTGGTTGCGGAGTTGTTTATATACCTGTCTTTATTTAGGTATATTTTTGTACGACTTAGACCGTTCGCACACCAGTGACTGTCCCTTTTTTCAACCCTTCCTGTCCCCCTCATGTGCATGTCCAACCCATGCTGGAGTCATTCAGGGGACCCTCCTTTTTTTAATGTTGTGAGGTGTGGGGGTTGTAGGGTTGGTTCTGTACTCACCTGGTAAGGCTCCTGGCTGTGCTTGCAGGATTTGAGCTCTGGCTCTTGGGTCCCGCCTATCTGGTAGAACTTGCAGGATAGTACCAGTGGAATGCAGTGGTGCTATTGGCACATTTGGGGAACACTGTATTACCATCAGAGGTCTGTGCTTGTTACACGACCTACTTGTGAGCATAAGCCTTCTTGCTGGTTCGTCCGTGGACTTCCAGGGCGCACTAGCCTGTTTTCGTATGGCAGTTCCGGCCCGTCCTGGTTGTGGTGGTATGTGGGCCGGTGGACTGCTCCTAGCAGCTGCCTGGTGGGCCACCCTCTGGCCGGTCTAGCCTGGCCTTGGGCTGGGCTTGAGGTGTAACAGAGCTCCCAGTACCTCATCCAGCAGGTATCGAGCGGGGTTTCTCCGCCGTCGGTCGCCTGGTGCAGGTTTCTGGGCCTGCGGGGTTTTGTCGTGTCTCCGTTGGCCCTGTCTGGGGTCTGCCTGCTCCGTTCTCTGCCTTTGCAGAAGGGAGTTGCTATTTACATGTTGCATGTTGCAGTGGTGCCTGTTGCTGCTGCTGCACGTGTGCATTGGTACCGTGTTTCACGGTGGTGTGTCCTTGTTCCTGTGTCCGGTTGTGGAGTGGCACTTTGCTGCCGTTTTGTGCCTGGGGATTGCGTGGGGGTTTTTCTGTCCCTGCCTGATTGTCCACCCCTGGTTGTTATCCTGGGGTTTTTGTGCTTCTGCTCTTTCTTCCTGCCTCCTCTGCAGCAGGGGTGTTCTGCGCGTGTTCTTAGGCGTTTGTCAGCCTGTGTCCTGTGATGTGCTTCTTTGTCTCGGTCTATTGCAGTTGTTCGTACCCTTGGTTCGGGTACTGTTCTGGCGGCGACCCTTCCGCCTTCTTTGGTTTCCTAGCTTGCCCTGCCGGTTGTTTTTTTTTGGGGTCTTGCGATGTCTCGCGACGCACCCGTCTTTTCTGAACTCCTGGCGGGCTTGCATGCTTTGGGGAGTTTTTCTGTTCGGCAGACGTTCCATCTCCTTGTGCCGCCTGAGTTTCGGTGGTCGCGCCCGAGAACTTCCCGCGGCTCCGCCTTTTCCTGGGCTCGGAGGGGCCTTGTCGGGGCTGCTTATGTTCTGCCTCACGGTCTCGCCTCCGGTTGGTGGTTGGGTGGCTTCGTGGTAGGTGTCCCACCTGCGTGCTTCTCTTGGCGGCAGTATGGGGTATTTTGGCGGTCCTTCCTTTTCCTGTCCCTTCTTAGGTGGTTACTCTTGTTAGCTTGGTTTACTCTCGGCTTGGTTTTCTGGTGGGGGTTGGGGGCCGTCGTCTTGCCCCATACTGTCGCCTCTTTTCATGCGGCGCGGGCGGAGCCGCTTCAGCTTGCTTTCGGTCTTGGTGTTGCTTCTGCACTGTTAGTCAGCTGTCTTGTGCGTCGTTTCACCTCCGGCCTGTTCGTGCGCCGCTTGCACCATCCTGGTCTCTGGTCAGCGTGCTCTGTCTTCTCCTTGGTTGGTAGTGCCCCTTCGGTTCCAGTGTGTTTTTTCGTCGGCTCTTTCCTTTTGGCCTTTGCCTCTGGGGGTCGAGTCGCTGAGTTTTCTTGCTCCTTCGGTTTTAGAGTTTTGGTTGTTTGGTGGCAGCAGTCTCCATCTTTTCTGGCGCGGAGTGGGGCTGCTGCGTTCTGGAGGGTCCAGGGTTGTTGGTGCTTCGTTGGTCGGGCCGGGGGTGTGTCGTTTTTTGTGTTCAGTGGCGGCCCTCCGCTGTTGTTTGCGTGCCACGGCGTTTGGGTCCGGAGCGCGTTTTGCGTTGATCCAGTTCTGTTCTTCCCGGTTCGCGGGTGTTTGTGTCCCGGGTGGTCAGCCGTGTTCTTGCGGCTAAGCTGCCTGTGTTCTTCCCTCATGCCTGTGGCGTTCGTGGCTTCGCTGCTCTCGCTGCCGTCTGGGCGACGTGGCCTTGCGGTCTTTTGGGCATGGATTTTTGGTGTTCGTGCAGGGGCCTTGCTGCTCGTTGTTCTCGTGTTGTTCCCGGGACTTTTCGGGGCTGTGGCGCCTTGGGTTGGCGTTTGCTGCCGGTTGTCCCGCCTCCTTGGGGGGGTGAGTGGTGTCCGCCTCCCGGTTCTGTCCCTTTGACCTTCCTCTGTGGGTAGTTAGCTCCGGGGAGCCGACTGGGCTCCCCCCAGAAAACCAGCGTTGAATGTAATGAAACGCCATTTTCTGGGTGAGACCCGGAGGCTCCCCGGCAACCCTCCCTCCCGGTCGGCGGTTTTTCGCGTGTTTTGACATCCAGCCTCAGAACTGATGGGTGGATAGCCGGCGTGGGAGGTCTGGGGCTCCCCCTTCCCCCTCCCGGGGAGGGGGGAGCGGCGCAGACAGCGGCGCTGTGATGTATGACGTCATACTAGTTTCCTTGTTTTCTGTTGAAGAGTTCTATCCACTAGTTCGGCTTTAGGTAGCAATTTTCACCAGAATAGGGGTTTGTTTTGGAATGCTTACTTTTCTGGATGCTTGACCCGGTCGATGGCAGACATAGAATGCTTCCAACCACACCAGGGGTTTCTATAGGCCATTGCTCCCCTTGCCTCTCTGAGGGGGCCAGGTTCTGGCCGTGGTCCCCGGTAGGCCCTAGAACTCCATACACATGACTGATGCCAAAGTCTGACGTTAGCATATCAGCCGGAAAAGCTCCGAGGAGCCTCCGGGTTTCAGCCAGAAAATGGCGTTTTATTACATTCAACGCTGGTTTTTTGTATTGCCCCTCTGCCTCTCTTCTCAACCTGACATATTCATTCCTGGCACTCTGGTATCTTTCTATGCTCTCAAGTGTCCTGTTATTTCTATAGTTTCTCCATGCCGCTGTACTTTGCTGCTTAGCTAACCTACATCTCTGGTTAAACTATGGGTTTCTCATCTGCATTTTGTTGTTTTCCTTTTGAACCGGGACAAACTTGTCTGCTGCCTCCTTACACTTCTGCGTGATGTAGTCCATAATGTCTTGGGCCGTCTTTCCTTTGAGCTCTGTTTACCATGCTATATCTGTTACGAATTTCCTCATCTCCTCATACTTTCCCTTTAGGAATGCCAGCCTTTTGTTTTCAGTTCCCCTCCTCGAGTTCCTTAACCCTTCTTCAACCAGATACTCAAACGTCAGTACACTGTGGTCGCTAATTCCTACCGGGGTATCAAAACCCGATATCTCTTACGTCGGAGTCGTTCAGAGTGAAGACTAGGTCAAGTGCCATGGTAGTGGAGGTGTCCCTTGATACATTGACTTGGTTTGTTCAGCCAAGGGTGCGCTGCTTGCTGTGTCTGGTTGTGGTGGTCCACTGGTATTTGCAAATCACTTTTGATGCTCTGAGTGATGCTTTGTTAGTTGACCTGGTGTCCTTTGTTCCTGGTTTCAAGGCCTGTTTATCCAGGGTTGTCCACAGTGTCATTAAGATCAACCAGCCTGTGGTCTACCCTTGTACCCATGATGTTGGTAAGTTTATAGCTTTGACAGCAGTTTTTTATAATATCTTTACTAATGTTCAGGTTTTGGCATTTGAATAGGGTATTGGGGGCATGATAACTCGTCAATGTGCCTGATTCTCGCAGGTTTTGTATAGCACTGAGGGCCTCGTAGCCTGGTGGATAGCGTGCAGGATTCGTAATTCTGTGGCGCGGGTTCGATTCCCGCACGAGGCAGAAACAAATGGGCAAAGTTTCTTTCACCCTGAATGCCCCTGTTACCTAGCAGTAAATAGGTACCTGGGAGTTAGTCAGCTGTCACGGGCTGCTTCCTGGGGGTGGAGGCCTGGTCGAGGACCGGGCCGCGGGGACACTAAAGCCCCGAAATCATCTCAAGATAACCTCAAGATAACTGGGTAGGGTTATATGGTGCTGATCTACCCGCTCTTTGGGGGTTACTGGTTACTGTTTTCCTCTGGCCCTGGTGAATCCCATTTATTTTTGTTCTCCTTCGAGAGGTAGTTCTATGTAGGAATCAAAGGGGCCAGAAATCCACCAGTGAATGTAAGGAACTCCTCTTCCTTGGTTGATCCCCAGTGGCTCTCCCCTTCCCTTCCCTTCCCTTCCCTTCCCTTCCCTTCCCTTCCCTTCCCTTCCCCTTCTCAGGATCTTTGGTTGCTTTTTGGGCAGCCCATGTCTGATCCAGTAACACCAAGGGAAACCTAAGCTCCTGGGACTGCCACCTGGTGGTGGTGGAAATGTAAGTTGAGGGTGGGGTGGTTCCTCTTGGGTTTGGTGATCAAGTATTTCCTGCTCCTTGTGGCTCGTGGAGTGGATCAGGTTTGATCTCTGGTTTGTAATTACCCAAGTGTAATTACCTAAGTATAGTTACAGAATGCGAGCTCCACTCCTGGTGTCCCATCTTTTTAGTACTCTTTCACATGATGTTTTGAAGCTACTGATGGTTTTGGCATCCACCTACCACCTTCTCACTTTTGTTCCAACTGTCTACCACTCTGTTTATAGTAGGTTTTCTATGATTCTCGAGATCAGGTGTCACAAGATATGGGATAAAGCTACTCAGGTGGCTAGCTTCAGGGAGGAACCATGGGGCCTACAAGAAAGAGGCATTTTATTACATTCAATGCTAGATTTTGTTATTGAATTATTGACTCATCAGATTGTAATAATTGCAAATAAATTTTCTATGTGCTTATCATGTGAACAATACAATTGCTTGTTTCTTGTATCATGCTGCATTTTATCAGTTATCTTTCCTATTTAAATAAATATTTAAATTTTTTCAGCAACAGATTGTCTACTCTCATTGCTGATATGAGGACTCATCTCCGAGGTCAGTAACTAAAATGTGTAACTTAGCCAATTGATGGTAGTTTTATATCAGTCAAGAAAATAGTTGACACTGTAAACATGCTGAGTGATGAAATAATTTATGAGACACATGTTTAAGTTGTTAATATAATTGCAGCTTCACATAAAAATATTCAGAATGCATAATCATTAATAGTGAAGTACAATTCTTGAATGGAGGAGTATTGTGTATTAACAGCTTCCTCATCTTTACCTTGTTTCCTACTCTTGTGTTGTGGGAAGGCACCTATCGTGAAAGGATGTAAACCTTAGTATAAATTTTCTGGGAAGGCTCCACTGGTGGTTCCTCGCTGAATATGGCAGGTTTATTTATTTATATACTGTATACAAGAGTTCTTACATTCTTGTGAAGCCACTAGCATGCATAGCATTTCGGGCAGATCCTTAGTCCTAAATTTTCTCCGGAATACGACCTGCCAAATTGTTTTACAACCACGTACCCTTTCTCTGCTGGGTGAACAGAGGCTACAGTTAAGGATTGGCGCCTAGTCAATCCTCCCCGGCCAATATACGAACTCAGGCCAAAGTGCTCACAAAGTGCTCACCAAGCGCCGAGCAATTGTTTTACCACTGTGCCATGGGGACAACTGGTTCCATCCATTTGAATCCATGCCAGGCTTTTGCGAGTTATATATAAGCCTATTGGGGACCAGAGGCCAAAACCTGCCCTCCTAAAGTTGCACAAGGAGCAGTGGATTATAGATCACTCCTAACCAAGAAAAGATCACCAGAAAGTGGGTTCCCCCCCCCCCCCAAGAAAAGAACAGTGTTGAATGTAATAAAATACTAATTTCTGGGTGAACCCCCAGTGGCTCCCTGAAGCCATCTTACAAAGATGGCCCCTAACTACTGGATTGCATCAGTTGACATCGAGTTCAGCCTACTGGGGACCAGAGTCAGAACCTGGCTCCCTCACACAGGTGCAAAGAGCAAGTGACACTCCACCATGTCACCAGGAAAGGTATCCAGAAAGTCAGCAAACCAATACAGACCACTGCTGGGTTCAAAGAGATACAAGCCTCACAACCTGTCAAAATGAACTTTCTCAACAATGTAAAGAAACGATCTAAAATTTTTCAAAACATGCGTGCGCTCACCCCAACCCTCTTGCTTGTTTGGGGAGGGAAGGGGAAGGTCAAGGCACACACTGTTCATTGGCTCAAGCCTTCAGTTTTGGAGCAGATGCAAGCAGAATATCCACCAACTGGCAATCTGGAAAGGAGAGCAGGAATTACGGAGCCACCAGGGGCTCGCCCAGAAATTTGTCCTTCATTACATTCTCTGCTGGTGTTCTGGGGAAAACCCTTGTGGTTCCTCTGAAGGTAACTATCCATGGAAAAGAAAAACAAAGGGACTTTTTTTAAACTGTGCAGAAGGCTTTAAGGTGCTGGATCGGGGTGCACAGAGTGCCATATGGCACCGAATTGCGGGTGTGCAAAGTGCCATATGGTACTTTTTGGTATAGGGAGCGATTCAAAATGCCTGTGAGTACATGGAGCTCGCATCCTGTGACTCAGGACTCAAATAAACACAAGCCTTCTTGAAAATAATTTGTCAGCATCCATACTAGCTCTGAGAGCCTTAGTACTGAGAGAGCGACCAAGTCTGGTGCATGCAGCAGGAGCTCACAGCACCACTGTGCTGCTAGGGGCCACATCACCACTTAATGATGAATAAAATAGATAACTAATTATTTTGCTTTGATAATCCTGACGGTAATAGACTATGTATAACATTCAGATATCAGTGAATACAATGCTCGTCATGATATTCACAGCATGAGGGAGAGAGACAGCACCCAGCCATTGTTTCCTGCATCTATTCATCTTGAAACGTCCTCATGTTCCTTCACAGTATAAACTTGTGGAAATGGATTTATATTGGGCATTTTGTGACAGGAATGTGTCACAACAGGAGTTTTGTAGTGGGTCATAGCAAGATGTGTAGACTATTAGAGGAATTGTCTTGTATCACGCAACTGCTGGCGTCATCTGTTTGTATCATATGGATCCATGCTGTGTTTTGATTTCATCACCATTCCCACCAGAACTGCTTAGTACTTTGTTATGGTGCATATAAATGTTGATATTGATATATAACGTGTATATAGTATAATAACAGTAAGAACATTGTTTGGTTGATCTAAGAATATTATATACCTGTCACATATGTGAGCCCCATATTTTTTAGCCTAGCAATGTTCCACACATTTAACCCTTAAAGTGCGCATCACGTCATATGACGTGTTGGACGTTGTTCCAGTCAACTGCGCATCACGTCATATGATGTGTTGGAGTACTACGCAAGATTTAAACGGCCCGCGGATACACGGGGTTCACCACACCTTCATCAGGGCTCTTGTAAACAGACGCCATTTTAAAAAAAAATCGTGGGCCAAACTCCCGGGTGTTATTGGCCTCAGTATTGAGTGAGCAGCCAAGCCTGACGCACGCAGCATGAGCTAACAGCACTGCTGTTCAGCTTGTGACCACAGCATCGCCTAAAAATGCCAAATATACTTGTTCATGCTATTATGTAGCGATGATATTATTACAGAAGACCCCTGACTGTGATAAAACTGACCAGGGTTCTGATAATAGCAGGATTGTGGTGATATTTAGCGCTGTGCGCCATGGAGGGAGGAGTAATGCTGTGGGAGGGAGGATGGTGGCGATGTCTTCTGATTGTGTGTGGCCACCTTTTATTGACTGCACTCAGCATACCAGCTTAGTTATCTTGAGGTTATCTTGAGATGATTTCGGGGCTTTTAGTGTCCCCGCGGCCCGGTCCTCGACCAGGCCTCCACCCCCAGGAAGCAGCCCGTGACAGCTGACTAACACCCAGGTACCTATTTACTGCTAGGTAACAGGGGCATAGGGTGAAAGAAACTTGGCCCATTTGTTTCTGCCTCGTGCGGGAATCGAACCCGCGCCGCAGAATTACGAGTCCTGCGCGCTATCCACCAGGCTACGAGGCCCCTTTTTATTTTTATTTTTAGTGGTTCGCTATGATGAACATAAATGTAGATACTTATATATAACGTGTGTATAGAGGGTATAAACAGCAAGAGAAGGTTTGGAGCCGCTATTTTGGTGAGGGCGGTGGCGTCGTCTGCACGATGCCACCGTGCAGACGACGGTGTTGTTTACTGGTTACCACGATGGTCTTTTGGCACCATACCAGTTTGTTTGTACAAGTATGGTGAATAAAACAGGTAGATATTTATATATAATGTGTGTATATAGCATAATAACACCACACAGTATTGTTGGAGGAGAAATATTAGTGTGTCTGGCCTTGAGGGCGGCAGCCATCAGCTGACTGTGTGAAGTCCTACGTCTTTGTGCCTTTACTCACCATACAAGCTTAGATGTACAGTTATGGTGAACAAAACATGTAAATACTTATATATAACGTCTGTATAAAGTGAATTATAGAAAAAACAGTATTGTGGGAGGAGAATGTGGGTGAGTCAGATGACTGGAGGGAGAGCGGGAGTGGCTGGCTTGTACACGGCGGTCACTCCTCATTACTTTTTGACTCATAATAGCTACTTAGTGGTTCGTTATGGTGAACAAAACATGCAGATACTTATATATAACCTGTGCTTATAGTGTAGTAACCGACAAAGTATTTGTTCACTGATTGATGAACATAATTGAATCAACAATATGCACACCATATTTTTGAGTACAGCAATGATTCACTCATTTTATTATATAAATATATCAAACTACACACTATTGAATAATATTACAGCAAAAAAACTATGAAAAATCAATCAGAGACATTGAAATAATTAGGTAATTATCTCTGTGGCAACTCCTGCCTGACAGCTGGCGAGCAACAGACCGCCTGGGACGCATGCTGAGTCTGCGCCTATAATTTGCCAGACTTCCCCGCCCTATAGCGGGCAATATATGCCACTTACGATTTTTGTATTATTTTTCCCGTGATCAGTGAACACAAATTAACAGGTTAGGAAGAAAAATATGTTTTTTTTTTTTCAAAATGACATGCGCCTGTGGGGATGACAGGATATTAAACCCCGAGCATATTAAGGGTTAACTGTTTATATTCCATAATTTAACACGAATGAATAATATTACTGCAAAAAATTAGATATAAAACCATTCACAGACACTGAAGTTATTATGTAAAAATGTATTTGGGGCAGCCCCTGCTACACTCACTGTCGGCCACTAGGCTGACGGCTGACCTTGACCTTGTTCTGTGTATATAAACTCTCAACACACTATCTTTGTGGTTCATTATGGTGCACAAAAATGTAGATAGTTTCATATAATGAGTATATAGTATAATAATAGGAAAAACACAGTTTGATCTTGGAATATAATATACGCATCACCAAATATGAGCCCCATATTTTTTAGTATAGCGATGTTTCATACATTTAGCAATATAAATTCCACAAATTAAACGTTTTTGAATAATATTACAGAAAGACCAGAGAAGAAACGAATGAGATCATTATCATTAATCATTATCATTATCATTAATTGAAATCATTATGAAAAATTATAATCACGGCAACTGCCGCTCCACGGGGTGGCGGTGTCGAGTGTCCCCGAGCACCTACTAACTCAGCGCCCATAAATTGCTCAACTTCTCAGCACCATCATACCTAAAGTATGTCACATACAATATTTTCATTTAGTTTCCTGTGATCAGAGACTGCATTTTAACAATATAAGAAGATAAAATCATTTTTAGGAAATAATTTTTTCCAGCTCAACACGGGGGGGAAGGGGATGTCGTATTATACTATGTTGGGGTGACAGGAGTGGTTTTGTGTATGTTGGGGTGTCAGGAGTGGTTGTGGATGTGGTGGGTGTCAGGAGTGGTTTTGGATGTGGTGCGTGTCAGGAGTGGTTGTGGGTGTGGTGGGTTTTGGAAGTGGTGGTGGGTGTGGTGGTTGTCAGGAGTGGTTGTGAGTGTGGT